GGGATGGGGTCGCTCTGGGTGGGGTCCCTGGGTGTGGTGGGGGTCATTCTGGGTTTGGTGGGGGTCTCTGGGTGTGCCGGTGTCCCCCCCCCGCTCTGACGCCCCCTCCCCGCCCCGCAGGTTCCGTTCGGGGAGGCGCGGCTGGTCCGGGAGTGGCTGCGGGTGTCGGGCCGGGTGCTGAAGCCCCCCCAGGAGCACCCCAAGCGCCCGGTGCTGGGGCTGCGCTGCCCGCGGGCCGAGGTCAGCGGCTCCCGCTTCTGGGGGCTGATCCGGAGCCTGTGCCCGGACCCGCGCTCCTTCTTCCGCCACTGCTTCGTGCACAACCTCTGCCCCCTCCTCTTCCTCGCCGCCTCCGGCCGCAACGTGCCCCCCCCGGAGCTGCGGCCGCCGCAGCGGGAGCGGCTCCTGGCGACCTGCGGCTCGGCGCTGGTGGCCACCGTGCGGGCCCTGGGCGTGCGGCTGGTGCTGGCCCTGGGGCGAGTGGCGGAGCTGCGGGCGCGCCGGGCGCTGCGGGGAGCGGGGCTGGCCGTGCCCGTGCGGGGCATCCCGCACCCGTCCCCCCGCAACCCCCGCGCCAACCGCGGCTGGGAGAGCCAGGCCCGGGAGAGGCTGCGGGAGCTCGGGGTGCTGCGGCTGCTGGGGGTGGGCGAGCAGGGGGCAGCGCCCGGGGGGGAGCTGGAGTGGCTGGGTCAGGCGGGGGATGGGGAGGAGGGAGTCCTGCCTCAGTTTCCCCGCTCAGAAACTCCGGGGGTGGAGGTCGGGGGGTCCCTGCCTCAGTTTCCCCGCTCAGAAACAGGGGGACAGGGGATTGATGGGTCCCTGCCTCAGTTTCCCCGCTCGGGAATGGATGGACAGGGGGTTGATGGGTCCCTGCCTCAGTTTCCCCGCTCAGAAACTCAGGGAATAGAGGTTGGGGGGTCCCTGGATCAGTTGGGGGGTGGGGAGAAGGGAGTTGATGGTTCCCTGCCTCAGTTTCCCCGCTCAGGACGGGATTTAGGGCAGCACTGCAGGGCCGAGGAGGGGCCCAGGCTCCAAATTCCCCAGCTGGGGATGGGGGGGGTGGAGGTCGGGGGGTCCCTGCCTCAGTTTCCCCGCTGGGAACAGGATTTAGGGCAACACTACAAGGCCGAGGGCGGATCCCTGCCTCAGTTTCCC